AAAGAACTATATAAAGATTGGAAAGGGTTTTCATTTTCCAAAGACACTTTATAGTAGCAATTTCTTTTATTTTTCAAAATAATTTGACATGAATAACTACCAATAGGAAGTCTATCAAGTACAAATTTTATAAAATAGTTAAGAGATAAACGTGCAACGCACGTTCCTGAAACTCCTAAAAATGAAAAGTATGAAGAAAATAATTTGGATAATTAATGAAGTCGGAGAACCAGAGAAGCTTGGATATTTTTTTTGAAGAAAAAAAATATGGATTTCAATTTTTTTTAAAAAATAAAAGTGTCTTTGAAAGAGTTTAAATGAGAATAAGATATTTGATTTATTCACACCCATTAAGAGTTTTTTTAGTTAAAAAAAAACAAATGCACTCAAATATCTTAATCTCTGAACCATTCAGATTCACACTTCCATTAAGTGCAAACAAATGAGCCCTTAGATATAAGCATATATTTCGTCATATACATGTTCAATTAGTCATATACATTGATAAAAGCTGAATACATTATGTCTTACATCAGCTCACATGTACACTTTATTATATTCATGAGCTCTTATTCAGACGCACGTGTATATTTTATCAAATACATATACAGTTAATTAAATACATTAACAAATATCAGATACATATAATATTAACCCAAAAATGTACCAGGTACATAAATAATGTGTCAGATACAAGCGTAAGTTATGTTTCCACAAACAATTTTTTTGACAAAATATATTCATAATTTTTAACTTTATGCAAACTGTAGAATATTTTTTGTTTCGTCAACACTGACATCAAAATCATAATCAATAAACTGTGGAAAATAATAGATAGTGCAATTTTTGTGTTGTTTTTATAAGACATAATACATAAACATGATCCTTAAGTTGGCGTCAACGAACAACTATGCCCTTCAACTTTCAATGTGCACAAGTAGAAACTTAAAATATTATCAAATGGAACAAGTAGACATAAGTGTCTTACATGACATCATACACGTAGGATGCCATGTAGTATACAAAATTGTCATGTAGTGTGCCATGTAGGACGAATATGTTCATTTGCTCAAAATTTCATACAAATTTAAGTGTTTACTTATGCACACTCAAAATTAAAGGTCATAATTATTAATTTAACACCAAATAAGAGTTATGTTTATGTATTATGCCATTTTATAATATAATAATAAAATACTAAGCCTGAGTAAAAATGATCCACAAGGGTAATCCTTCAAAGGCATTGAAGAATCTAAAAGGCTCGTGTCTTTTGATGCTTCTATAATATTCATCAATCTAATTAAATTGATCTTCAAAATACACTATATATATATATATATAAATAAATAATAAATTTATGCAGAAAATTAGTGAAAGGAGAAAGAAAAATAATATTAGTCTCTTTCTTCGTACTGAATATGCAATAATAAACACAAGGGAGAAGGATGGAGAATGCTGAATAAAATGTGGGAGAGAAAATGTAGAAGAAAATGTGAATTAATTTTTAGTGAATGCATAAATTATGAAGAGAATCGATGGAATAAAATCATTAAATTAATTCTAAAGAATAAAGTATCTTAATGTTATTAACTTCAAATATGATATGAAATTTTTAATTAATGAAAATATATATATATTTATTTCCCTATAATTAGTTGAAAGTATAAGCAAAATAAGTACATATGGTATCAACATGTAATTTTTTCTTGAGAAAAAGGATCTTTGAACCAAAAAAAGAAAAATTACTAAAGAAAAAAGGAAGTAAAAATTGCCATTAATAAAAAAGGGAAAAGAAATTGAGATGAAAGATAAATAAAGGGCATAAATAAGAGAACTTTTGCAATTATTGAAAAATCCACAAACCCTAACTAAGATTTATATATATATGCAAATGTAAATGAGAATAAGAATTATCTCACATTATACTTTCTCCTCCTTTTTTTATCTTTGTTTTTTTTTCACTCATTTTTTCCTCATTCAATACGCTTTTTGCTGTTCAAGAACAATGGAGAAGGTTCTCATTTGCTTCCTATACATATATATGTATCTGTAGGTATGTAATTGATCCTTTTTTTGTTATTTTCAGGTAAAGGTTTGTTTTTTATTGTTGAATTTTTGTGTTTTCGTCTTTTTTTTTTATTTGAAACAGTATTTGATGAGTGATAAAATTGGTTTTGTTGTAATATGTGGAGGTTTTTTCGATATGGGGTTTTATGGAAATTGATTAGTTATTGGACTATTTGATTGTCTTTATATCGTGTCGAAACCAATTAGTTGTTAATAGTAAATTAGTTTGTTTGATTTGTTGTTTTTGGAGGGCTTTTACCCTTTGTATTGTATTGCATTGTTAGATGCAACATTTGTTTTGATTATTTTATGATTTTTTGCTCTCTTCTTTTGAATTGTATTGATATTTTGGCATATCTGGTTGCAGGGTGCTACTAGAGGAGTGTGATTTATTGTTTGAGTTGTGTTTTATTACTTGATTGTAGCTTAAGCTTTAACTGATTCTAGAATTATGCCAGTTTTTGGGAACAAAGAGGTTTTAAATCTGATTTCTTATTTGCAGGTGAAAATAGGTTTAACTGTTGCTTTTTTTTTCTCCTTTACATCATGTTTTTTTTAGCCTGGGGCTCTTGCCTGACAGTCTAGTAACTCTTCTTCTGTTCTTCCTTATAAGAAGAGGTTGTGCTCTATATTCTATCTGCGTGCACCTATCCATCCTGAACCCTATTGTTCTAATGAAAATAAATCCAAGACCAAAGATTCCGGGTACGGACAAAGATCGACCTTGAATTATTGTGATAGTACAGGTAAATCTGATACTCCCAGTAAGTCTGTTCTAGAGGTAAAAAAAGAAAGGCCTTTGGGTGTGAAAGTTGACTCTCAGCCTACCATGCGATCAATTTTCCCGGTATCTACGGAAACGAATCCTTATACTAGTTTCGATCCTTCAAGAAATATTGAAGGTCTTGTGAAACTAGATTTGACCAAAAAATAGCTGGCCAGTAAGCTATAGGTATAACAAAAGTTTCTCTCAAGAAAGAAGTCATTCTCAAACAAGAGGAAAGCCATAGTGAACTTGAACTTCCTGCCCATTCAGGGCAAGTTGAACTGTCATTAGGCCCAAAAAAAACCTCATGTTTCTTCTTTGGATGATCCAGATACTAAGGAGAGTTGTCTGATGCGTGGAACTGTAAATCCTTCAATTCTTTCTCTTTCCTCGAATAAAAGGGAGGACATGTTCAAGGAAGGAAGTTGCAAAGTGGATTGAATTACAATGATGTTGATGATATTGCACACACTGATAGATCTAACTAGGATCTGAATACCCCCATGGATTCATGAGAGAGCTCTGGCGATGTTGTTCTTGTTCATGATAATACAAGTCAAATCGATCTGTTAGGTTAGACATCTAGTTCACTAGACAGAAAGGCACCTATTAGTTCTGCTTCTGTTATTGGTTTTGATGGTGATGGGAAGCAAGTTGTTGGAGCTAGTGAGCAGGAATTTAATTTTCCTATTTCATCAATACATCCTAGGTTACCACATAAGTCTGCAGATGGGCTTCGTCTTAGTCTTGGTAGTACTTTACGAGGGTTTGATTCCTCAGCATTGCAGTCATTATCTAAAGTAGATTCCTCAGCACTGCAGTAATTATCTAAAGTAGACTCCAACAGGGTTAGTCTAAACTCGAGTTTGCTGAAAAATCTAGCATAGGATAGAAACATGAATTCCCCTACTTGTAAAACTGTTAAGTCAGAACCTGTTGTAGAAGCCTAGGTACAAGCTAATGCTAGAATTGCGGTTCATATAGTTGGAACATTCATGGCTAATGTTGTAAAATGTGAGGTTGTGAGGAAGAATCTGCAGTCTATTGAGTTATCAACTAAGGGCCCTACGGAATTACTTGAGCAAGAACCAATGAAATGTGAACCACTCTAGGAAATATCCATGAATCAGATGTTATTGCGCCCCAATCAGTTGGAAGGGTTTTACAGCTTCAGAAGAGTTCTTCTTCTTCTTCTACACCGCCAATGCCTTTGACCCCTCAACAGGGATGCACTTCTAGATTGTCTAACTATTCAGATTTGTCTGTGAGTGGCGGGAACTTGTCTACTCCATCTAGGTACTCTGTTCATACTAATAAAGCTAATAGGAGTAAAAATGCTCTCGATCAGGCAAATGATGATGTTGCTGCTCAAACTGCAAACTTGGACCTCAAAGAACTAAATGTATGCAGGGATAAAGTGGAGGCATCTGTTTCCGTGAGCATGAATATTGAAGATCACACGGTATACAAAAAGACAGAAGACACACATAATTTGGTTGCAAGTGGTAAGGGGTCGGCAAATGATGGTTCTGATTATGAATCTGATGGTCATCAGGCTTTTGCTGGACATGTTGACATTGAGAGTGTGGGGTGTGTCAGAGAGGATGAGGAATATGAAAATGGTGAGATCCGAGAACCAATGATGCAGACAATTGTAGAAGACCCAGTTGCTGAGGGGATGGATTCAAAAAAGAATAAAAATGATAATAAAGACATTAATCTGGGAAGTCCATTATTAGATAAAGAGGAAACAAGCAGAGATGATGAGCAAAGTCCTATTGGTGTTATTTACCAAGGATCACCTGATCAATCAGGACTAGCAGATGTACAAGAGGGATGTGAAAAGGATGTCTTATGTGTCGGACCATCTGCTGGGAGAAGAGGAGCTGTCAGGAATGTTGGTGAGGCTAATAATGAGTATATTGGAAGATCTGATATGTCAGCAAAAGCCCTTTCATCTTTTCAAAATGCAGAAACACCTGTTAATACTACCTGTAGTAAAGATTTGTCAGGCAAGAGTCGGATCATCAATTTACCCCGTGCATCAAATGTGACATCTTCTAGTAATTTCAGACCTGTAACGGGTAGGTCACTGTCTTCAAGAAGTAAAAGAAAGATATTCTTATATGGAGGAGGAGAAATTCCATCTACGAAGGAATCGGTAAAGTTTTTTTTATTGCTTTGTTTGATTTTTAATTTTTTAATAATGCTGCTCAACTCTCGACTGTTTCTTACTGTGCTTTTTCTAGAGATGAAATCTATGATAATGGTTCTAAATTTGTGTGAGATGGGTCTCTAGATCGTTCATTCGGTAGATCAAGGGGGAACTTCATGTATGGAAGAGGGAGAGGCTCATACCGATTTCATAGATCACGTAGAGATGGGGATTCTGGGCGTGATTTTGAAAGCTATAGAGGTGCAGCTGATTATCGCTTTAGGCATAAATGTACAGTTACTGTTGGGGAGTATGAAAATGAACGTAATGCCTATGACAGTAGACTAGATGGTGCTGCCTCTGGTAGTAATAGGAAGAGGAAGCCATTAAATGATGACTTGCTTTCATTTCAACATCTACCTGCACGTCTACTATCCCCCAATGGAAGAGAAGATGCTGCAGCAATGGGCATTAAAATTCTTCGTAGAGCTCCTGGGAAATATCAGCCTAGGCAGATGCACTGGTGAAGATGGCTCTGAGTATGTTGGTCCTCGGCATAGCGAGAAGTTTGACAGAAACTTTCCATCAAATATTAGTGATCCCGTTTACAGTCACTGGCAATCTATGTATGATAGACTTGATGCTCATTTTGTTCAGGGTAATACACGGTTTACTGCGATACAGAGAAGTGATTTCCCTCGAACTCAATCTAAATCTCTTGGTAGATCCCGTACTTGTTCGTCTCCTCATAGGATATTGACGGAAGGATTGAATGGCCATCAAGATTCATCTCAGCACAGGTTACGGGTTATGTATAGGGAAGATAGAATGAGGTTTGGTCCACAAACTTCTTTTACTGATGAAGAAATAGTTCCTCAAAGGCTATACTTCTCGTCGTCTGAATGATATGAGGGATATGGATGCTATATAGAAGCACAAGCATCCCAGGTCTCTCTTTCTAACAGAAGATGTCCACCTGATCAGGTATTTACTAGTACCAATACGAGAGTTGAGATTTTAGATCATCGGGAAAGGGCTGATGGTGATGCGTACTTAGATGGGTCGATACGCACTGGTAGGTTTCCTGAGCTTCACAGTGGTGAAAGTACTAATAAAAGAAGGAAGGTGAGAGGCAAGGAGGACGTAAGCAAATAAGAAATTCTGAAGAGCAAGATGGTGGTAACTTTAGGCAGAGTAAACAACTTTGGCATGAAGACAAATTTGATGTCTCCAAATTGAAGAAAAGAAGCAAAAACATGTATGAATGCATAGTTTCCCATAGATTGAAGGTTTGATGAGCTATTAATCCAATAAGTGCTTTCAATCAGGAGATATTCCGTGTTTTAGTCACGCTCTCTCTTCCACAATTATTATTCATCTAGATAAATTCAGAAGTCTGCCTCCCTTCTATAATATGAAAGCATGCTGCTGTTACCCTTCTCTGTCTGCAAGGAACATTGAGATATCTTCTTTTCTTCAATCTGGAGCCATCAAATTCTTATTCATGCCAAAGTCGTTCATTCGGTCTCAGATTACCATCTTCTTGCTCTTTGACATTTCTCATTTGCCTAAGTCAACCTTGCCTCTCACCATACTTCCTTCTTTCATCACTACTTTCACCACTGTGAAGCTCAGGAAATCTACCTGTGTGTATTGGCTCATCAAAGTACACATCACCATCATCCCTTTTCTAATGATCTAAAATTTCTACTCTCGGCCTATTAGTTCTAGTAAATACCTGATCAGGTGAACTTCCTCTACTAGAAAGAGACCTTGTATGCCCGTGCTCCAGTATAGAATTTACGTCCCTCATATCATTCAGACGATGAGCAGTATAAGATGGAGAGTCACGCCTTTGAGGAGCTATTGCTTCTTCAGTAAAAGAAGTTCGTGAAGACGACCTCATTCTATCTTTTATGTACATAATAGGAGACCTGTGGTAAGATAAACCTTGACGACCATTTAATCCTTCCGTCAATATCCTCGGAGGAGAGGATCAAGTACGGGATCTAACAGGAGATTTCGACCATATTTGAGGGAAACCACTTCTCTGCATCGCAGTAAACTTTGTTTTACCCTGACCGAAATAATGATCAGGTCCATCGTACATAGACTGTTGGTGACTATAAACAGGATTACTAATATCAACTGGAAAGTCTCTATTAAACTTCCCACCATGCCAACTACCAGTATACACAGAGCCATGTTCACCAGCGCATCTGGTTGGGCTAATATTCTTGGGAGCGCTATGAAGCATTTGAATGCCCATCATGGCAACATCTTCTCTTACATTAGGGATAGTCGATGTGCAGGTGGATCCCGAAATGAATGCAAGGCATCATTTAATGGATTCCTCCTCCTATTACTAGCAAAGGCACCACCATCTAGTCTAGCTACTATCATAGTCATTATGTTCATTTGTAGATTCCCAAGCAGTAGCTGTATGATTATGTCTAAAGCAATAATCAGTTATACCTCCATAGTTTTCAAAATACACCCAGAAAACCAATCTCTACGTAATATGTGAAACCGGCCCCAGCCCCTCCTTCTTCCATGTATGAAGTTCCCCCTTAGCTACCAAATGAACGGTCCTGAAACCTATCTCACATAAATTTAGGACCATAACCATAGATTGTTGCGGAAATAGATGCCTCCACTTTATCACTGGATACATTTAGTTCTTTGAGGTCAAAGTTTGAATTTTTAGTAGCAATATCAGAGTATTCAGATGGAGTAGACAAGTCCGCACCACTCAGTTTTTACAACATTAGCCTCAAATGTTCCAGCTGAACGAACCGAAGTTCCAGCATTTGCTTGTACCAACGTTTCCACAACTAGTTCTGACTCAACAATTTTAAAAGTAGGGGAATTCATGTTTCTTTCCAATGTCCTATTTTTCAGCAAACTTGAATTTGGACCAAAACGATTGGGTGTCTACTTTAGCCAATGAGTTAAAACCTTGAAAAGTACTACCAAGACTAAGACAAAGCACATCTCTAGACTTGTGTCGTAGAGCAAGATGTATTGATGAGATGGGAAAATTAAATTCCTGCACACGAGCTCCAACAATTTGCTTCCCTTGTTTGGTAATAACATCCTCCGTGACAGAAACTTTTGTCGTACCTAAAGCTTCCTGGTTAGATAATGATTGTTTCACTGGATCGCCAAAATTTCTTGATGGCACGGAACTAGTATTAAGATGGATAGGCGCATTGGTCTTGCATCATTTTCATTAAAAAAGAGCATTCAGGATGGATAGGTGCACATAGATTAAACATAGAGGACAACCTCTTCTTAATATGAAGAAAACACGAAGACTTACTAGATTGCCGTGCAAGAATTCCAGCAATAGTTTTACAAGTAGGGGAATTCATGTTCCTATTTAATGCCAAATTTTTCAGCAAATTCGGACCAACACTGTTGGAGTCTACTTTAGCTTATGGCTTCAGTACTTAGGAGTCAAACCCTCGTAAAGTACTACCAAGACTAGGACGAAGCACATTTGTAGAATTTTGTCACATGGAAGGATGTATTGATGAGATGAGAAAATTAAATTTATGCTCAATAGCTCCAAGAACTTGCTTTCCTTTATCACCCTTAGAACCAATAACAGAAGCAGAACTAATACGTGGATTGCTGTCTAGTGAACTAAATGTCTTTCGGAAAAAATCAATTTGACTTGCATCTTCAACATGAACTACAACTTTTGTCTTGGATTCATTTTCATCTGAAAAATACTGTTCAGGACGGGTAGGTCCATGAGGATCGATCATAGAGTACCACCTCTTCTTAATAGGAAGAACATGCAAAGAGTTACTAGACTGCTGGGCAACAACTCCACGCTGCAAATATGTTGTGAACCGAGAGGGACATGTAAGGGACTATGGACTAGAATTGGTGGAGACTAATTTAGTTGGGATTATTGGGCCGAGTAAAATGTTGGAGTGTTATTTGGGATCCCATCCCAATTATCATTTGGTTAAAATGGCAAATGAGTTGGAAATAAGGGTTTATGCATATTGTGAAACAAATTGTCAGATCCTCTCGTCTCTTTCTAAAGTCTAATGTTCTCATCCCCATTCTTATCTCTATCTTTAGTTACTTGTTATTTCAGTATTTTGCGTTGTTATTCAATAGTTGAACTGTTGTCGTTGTAATTTGGATATTAGTAATTATATAATACTTTAGTATTTTAGTTGAGAATTCAGGTTAACTACAAAATACATGATGAAATAGAGTAATATTAAAAAACAAAGCAAGTATTACACAGTTAGGCCAATTTTCAATAGCAAATAAGAAATCAGATTGAGGCCTCTTTGTTCCCGGAAACTTGCATAATTCCAGAATCAGCTAAAGCTAAAGCTTTTCTTTTCATCTCGAGATGATATCAATCATGTCATAGAACACAATTGAAACCAAATAAGCCAAAATATAAGTACAACACAAAAGAAGAGAAACAGAACACTCATACTCATTTCAATCTCAGCTGCTCATTTAAAAAAAACGAATTTAGTCTCCCTTACTTTACTCGACTTCAACCTCTACAACTAGTTTGTTTTTCAGCTCCCATGAATTCATCCTTGACCTTAAGGATCAACAATCAAACCCCGGAAACTTTGCCTTAAGGAACTAGTAGTCTTCCCAAGTTGACTTCTCAGATCATAACATTCCATCTCCCAATGAGTATGAATGTTTTGTTTCTCTTCTTTTGTACTAAACTGATATTTTTGGATTATCTGGGTTCAATTCTGTTCTACGACTTGATTGATATTGTCTCGAGATGAAAAGAAAAGCTTTAGATTTAGCTGATTCTAGAATCATGCTAGTTTCTGGGAAAGAAGAGGTCTTAATCTGATTTCTTATTTGCTATTGAAAAATTGGTCTAACTGTGTAATAATTTCTTTGTTTTTTAATATTACTCTATTTCATCATGTATTTGCAGCTTGGAGTTCTTTCTCGACACTATAGTAACTCTTCATCTTTTGTTCCTTTTAAGAAGAGGTTGTATCTTCATGCACCTATCCATTCTGAATGCTCTTGTTCTTATAAATATGAATCCAAGACCAAAGATGTTTTTTCCGTTGAAGATGCAAGTCAAACTGATCTGTTACGTAAGACATCTAGTTCACTAGACATCAAGCCACTAATTAGTTCTGCTTCTATTATTGGTTCTAACGGTGATAAAGAAAAGAATGTTATTGGAACTAGTGAGCAGGAATTTTAATTTTCCCATCTCATTAATACATCCCGCCATATGACACAAAGTCCTTGGAAGTGCTTCGTCTTAGTCTTGGTAGTACTTTTCAAAGGCGTGACTCCTCAGTACTGCAGCCATTGACTAAAGTATACACCAACAATGTTAGTCCAAGTGGAACATTTGAGATTAATGTTGTAAAAACTGAGGTTGCGAGGTAGAATCTGCAGTCTATTGAGTTGTCAACTGAAGATCCAACCCAATAAGTTAGCCTGGAAATATCCATGACATCATATGTGATTGCTCACCGTTCAGTTGGAAAGATTTTGCCAGTTTAGGAGAGTTCTTCTTCTTCTTCTTCTTCTTCTTCTACGTTGATAATGCCTTTGGCCTCTCATAAATGATGCACTTTCTAGATTGTCTGTGAGTGGTGCGGAAGCTGATATTGCTGCTAACAATGCTCTAGGTCAGGCAAATGCTAATACTGCTGCTGAAAATGCTAAATTTTGACCTCAAATAACTAAATGTATCCAGTGATAAAGGGGAGGCATCTTTTTCCGTGAGTATTAATATGGAAGATCACACGGTATACAAAAAACCACAAGGCATACATAATTTAGTTGCAAGTGGTGAGGGGTCAGCAAATGATGGGGAAAAGATAAGTATATCAGCTGGTACAGAAGAAGAATGTTATGCTTCTGCTTATGAATCTGATGGTTATCAGAATTTTGCAAGACATGTTGACACTGAGAGTGTGGGTTTTTTCCAGAGAGGATGGCATATACGAAGACGGTAAGATCTGAGAACTAAAGATGTAGTCAATTGCAGAAGACCCAATGGCTGCGGAGATGGATTCAGGAAAAAATAATGAATCTTCAAGTAAAAATGTTCATTCTTCTCTTTGGAAATAGATACATGACTAGTAACTTGCTTCATTCATGAAGTGTGAGTTATAGGATAAGGGGTGATGTAATTCTTGAATGAATAAGAGTTACAAATCTAAACCTTGTCCTATAAAAGGGAGGACTTGGGGTCATCCAAACAACACAAACAACACAAGAAAGGAGTTTCTTAGATAAAGAGTGTAGTTGTTGTGGAAACCAATATCAGACTCCATAGTGATCTTGTAAGAAACCACTTAGGCAGTTGGGGGTGATAGCACTTTATCCTACTACTAAAAGGTATGTATAATTCTGCATAAATCTCCGAGATTAAATCCTTCAAAAGGAATAGGTGATTTTTCTTTTATTTATTATTGTTTGATTTGTAATTTGTATTTGTAATGCTGCTTGACTTTTTATTACTGTGCTTTTTGCAGAGATGAAGGTTTAGCTGATTATCGCTTCAGACATAAACGTAATGACTATGATAGTTGACTAGATGGTGCTGCCTTTGCTAGTAATAGGAGTAGGATTCTATTAAATGATGACTCCCCTTCATTTATTTATCCACCTTCACGTCGCTGCTGTCATGCTGTAGGGCATTCAAATGAATATAAGCCCAAGCTTTCGCACTGGTGAAGATGACTGCGAGTATGTCGGTGTTCAGCATAGTGAGAAGTTTAATAGATTCTTTCTAGTTGTTTATAGTCATCAACAATCTATGTACGATGGACCTGATTTTCATTCCGTTCAGAGTAATACAAAGTTTCCGTGATCAAGAGAAGTTGTTTCCTCGAATGCAATCTAAATCTCCTGTTAGATCCCGTACTTGTTCCTCTCGTCGGAGGAGATTGATGGAAGGATTCAATGGTCATAAAGATTCATCTCATCTCAGGTCTCCAGTTATGTACAGGGGATAGAACGAGGTCTGAAGAATCAATAGCTCCTCAAATGCGTGACTCTCTATCTTATAGAGCTCGTCGTCTGAATGACATGAGGGATGTGAATACTGTAAAGTAGCACGTGCATACGAGGTCTCTTTTTAGCAGAGGAAGTCCAACTGATCATGCATTTATTAGAACCAATAGGAGAGTTGAGATTTTATATCATCAGGAGAGGGCTGATGGTAGATATCCTGAACTTCATAGTGGTGAAAGTACTGACAAATAAAGGAAGTATGGCAAAGGGAGAGGAGAACCGCGCTATGCAAATGAGTAACATCGAAGAGTAATAAAGAGGTATTATAAGACAGAAAAAACAACTTTGGTTGAAGATAATAAGATTTTGCCATGGGAAACACTGTTTTATAGACTAATGTGTGGCTAAGATAAGATGAAATTAAGAACTAACAAGTAATAGTTGTATATAATATGTTTGAAACATAACACCTCGCATTATTGCATGAACGAATTATATAGTTTAAACATATCTTTAGCATCCTATATGATCAAACCTCTCAATAGATTTTCTTTAACAATAAGATTGAACATCTAGCGAAATTATCAGTTATTGTGTTCAAACACCTAGGAATATATATAATTTCGACATGATTAAACATTCTTGAAAGCTTCAAAATATCTTCAAACATTACTTCTATGTCTCAGCTTCTGAATCATATCAGCAAACATTTTTGGCATTTGATGAAATCTTTACTAACTTCTGTCCCGTGCTGATAGCGTATTCAAGAGTTTTTCCAAAAGCAGTTGTTTCAACCGTCAAGACTTTTTCAATATATTCGATTGGGGATCCTTGTGCATGAAGAAGTTTTCCAAGGCTATCAAAAAGGCATAATACCGATACTTCCCCTTCTACCATCATTTTACATTTTTGCATCTGTAAACAATAAAATACCATCTTGCAAATTTGTTAGTTTAATCACATGATGATTTCTAGAGGAGCAAGAAGAAAGAATTTTTGTTAGTAAATCTTTATATTCCTCGCACTCAAAAATATTATCTTAGAATCTTTCCTGATTAACAAGTCCGTAGATTCAGGAAAAGATATGACGATCACATTGCACATTCACAAAAGAATCTATAATATTATTTTTTGCTAAGTTTAATTTATTGTTCAAATCTTTGCATAAATAAGCAATACTATTTACTATAACATATATCTTTGAAATTGATAATCACGTGTAATGCACGTGTCATAAAACTAATCATCATATTAAAAAGTTGAATTACCATTTTTTCCTTTTACTAAATTAAAATTGGATTAATCATTTAACTAATACAAATATTTTAATTACATAATGGCAGAATTTAAGTCCTTTAGCCCTTTAATAATTAAATTATTATTTTCTTGATAAATGAGTACATAAATATTTTTTTTAATCTAAATCATAATTCTCATAATAGAAGAATTTCAAAAGTTATGATAAATAAAAATAAGAGAAAAGACATAAAGTCAACACAAAAGTTGTCCCGAATTTTCAAAAAGATACCTTAACTTTGCAACCGTCCTATTACCCCACTAAACAATTTTAAATAGATATAATTATATCATTTTTCGCCCACCTGACATAGACTGTGGTGCACTCTCTAAAAGAGAGTGAGCAACCTATAATAAATAATATAATTTTATTTTTGATAAGTACTTTATTATAAAATATATTTTCTTATTTCCATGTTATTTTAACTTGTTTTCCTTTTTATTTTTTCTTTCTCTTTCTTCTTTCTTCTTTTTCTTTCTTTTTTCAAAAATTCATTTGATCTCCATCCATTAAAGCTCCTTACTTTCAACGTCATCATTTTTATCGCAACTTCATCTTCCTTTTTTATTACTATTAATTTTACTCTCTTTTATCTAAATATTTTCTTAAAGTTCGAACAATTTGATAACTCATTAGATTTCAAAATGATTAGGAAATATCACATAGTTTTTTTCAATCTGATTTCAGTTATGTTCTTTCAATTTTTGGGAATTAATTGATTCTTTTAAAATTATCATTTCTAGTTTTGAATTTATATGAAAATGAGTAGTTTATGATACTTTCTAAATTTTCTTAGAAAAATAATTAATTTTGCTATCAATAATTCAATAAATTCTAAAAAAATAATATGAATTTTATAAAGAATTTACCCAGAAAAAGAAAAAGAAAATAAAAATATGGGAGTAGGGCTCAATTTGACATGGGGAGTAGGAGGTGAAGAAAGAAAAGACAATGGAGGAATGAATCACCTGAAAGTGGGAGGTGGGAGATGATGTGAAATTTAAGATAGATCAAAATTAAAAGTCAAAAAGTAAGAGAGCGAGAAATAATTTTTTTTTAAAAAGAAAAAACTTAAGATAAAAAAATTACATTTTAAATTGAATTAACACGTGTCATATAATGATTGGTGTGTGAATTTACTTGCTTCTTAAAACTTGGGTTTGATAAAAAAAAAAGGCATAATAATATATGTTCAAAATTGTTTAATGAGGTAATAAGACAGTTACAAAGTTAAGGTATCTTTTTGCGAAGCCGAGATAACATTAGTGGTGACTTTATGTCTTTTCTCTAAAAATACTGTATCCATCATCATGTCATATACCATCCATATACTATATTATTATTATGTTATTTTTTATTATCATATATCATCATATCATATTATATAATTGTTATTATGTTTTATACTATAAGTGGGAAGATGTTGTCTAAAGTTGGATTAAGAATATAATAATTAATTATTATTCTATAAGTGTGAAACTCTTAAAGTTGAATGACTCTTTAACTCTTCAAGAAATCACAATTAAAGTTGAATAACTTTTTAATTTTACAAGAAATCACCATTAAATTTGAATGACTTTTTAATTCTTCAAGAAATCACTATAAAAAAAGTCTCTTAAAGGTTATCTTCTAATGACAATATTGTACATTTGAATTTGAATTTGGTTTAGAGAGCATAAAGCTCTTATCATACTATATTTTTTCAAGTCTTTCGTTACATTTAAATTTTTTAATTTTTGCTATCATTCAATTTATATTCTTAAATTGATATATAAATGTTTGATCCCTCATATGAAAATATACTGCTAATATTTTGTTTTATGAACTTATGATGTAATATTTTTCTCAGGTATAAATCAGAGGTGATTTTTTTTGCAGACCATTGAATAGAACTTTTAATAGAAATTGCGCTTATACAAATGAGGTATGCGGCATGTCTCTCCAACAATTTTGTATTTTTTTGCATGATTACTTTTTTTATAAATTTGACGTACATATGATTATTGTATTTTTAATTAGATTTTAATAACTTAATGCATGTGTATTTTACAAAGTAGAGCCTCCTTGATAACTTTAGTTTAAAACATTGACTTATTGAAGTTTATTTTTCTTCTTTTTTCTTCAATCTCCTAGCTCCCGAGGTAAAAAGGATAACTAATGTTTCTTCCTCAATTACAAATCAGCATAAGAAATCGAGAAAATCTATGAAGAAGACATATTCTAACAAATGAGCTAATTTAATTTAATATGAAGGAGTACTTAAAACTCAAATATGAATAATAAAGTAAGAGAAAAAAGGATAAAAAACTTAAAATATGATAGGAAGTATGAAAAATAACCATGAACAAACTATTGGAATTATATGGTCATGCTACAAAGGAGAATAAACACACTATGTCATTTGAATGTAATATGGAGACAACATATTACTTGTTACAAGTACATATGGTAATTCAAATTTTGGTACAAATTGAGAAGGTGTCTTGTGTGTGTATCTTTTTTAGAAAGTAACAAACTAATATACTGTAGGTTTCGACCTAATAATATAAAAAGGTAAATTATTTTTCACATTAAATTTTGTTGTCCAAATTTGATATCTTATCTGAATATCTAATTATTTGGCTTTTACATTTTACAATAAAGAAGCCATTTATATAGATTGATTGTTCATTTATTTCATTTATATTTTTCATTAAATCATTTTTGAAATTCTTCATAATGTGATTTTAATAGTTTTTGTTAAAAACTCATTTTTGTTTGATGTAATTTTAATATAACTTCTACCATATATAATAATTTTGTGAGACTCACGTGCAAAACACGTGTTCAGGACTAGTATGATTATAAGTGGGAAGCTCCAAATTAAAAAAATTGAATTACCATTTTGCCCTTATATTAAATTCAAATGTTATTAAATATTTAATTAATTGAACACCGAATTGTAGAATTTCTATAATATTTTTAGTTGGTATACATGTGAGTAAATTAAATAGAAAAAAATAGAAATAAAAGTTATCCCTTTAAATAGATACATGTATATGGGTTATCTTCCAAATTAATTTATGTTTTTAATTAGTATTTATTTTAATTTTTTGTATACTTGACCTTTCAACTTTGTAAGTGAATCTTCATATTCCAAAGCTATATTTTTTTCCCTATACATACAAGTTTTTCAATTACTACTTTTAGAGAAAGATTTATATATAATACAATATTTGTTTATGGAAGATTAGAGAAGCTTTAATCAAGTGAAAAAAAAAATTTAAGGTAGAAAAGTTGAATAATCATTTTAATCTTATGCTGAATTCAAATGTTATTAAAATATTTAATTAATTAAATAGTAAATAGTAGAATTTCTATAATATTTTTAGTTGGTATACATGTGAGTAAATTAAATAAAAATAAAAATTATCCCTTTAAATTGATACATGTATGTGTTTCATCTTCCGAATTAATTTATTTTCTTAATTAATATTTGTCTTTAATTTTTGTAACACTTGACCTTTCAACTTTGTGAGTGAATCTACAAACTCCAAAGCTATATCTTTTCCTATAAATACAAATCTTATACAGAATTCTCATAGAAAGATTTATATGCGATACAATTTTTGTGTGTGGCAGACTAGAGAAGTTTTAATCAAGTGAAGAAAATTTCAAGGCAAGAGGATTTGTGTCAAGATTACATGGCATAATAGAAAAGTTGAATTATCATTTTACCCATATGCTAAATTCAAATGTTATTAAAATATTAATTAATTAAATAGTAAATAGTAGAATTTCTATAATATTTTTAGTTGGTATACATGTGAGTAATTAAATAAAAATAACATTATCCCTTTAAATAGATACATGTATGTGTTTCATCTTCCAAATAAATTTATGTTCTTAATTAATATTTGTCTTTAATTTTTGTCCTTGACCTTTCAACTTTGTGAGTGAATCTACAAATTTCAAAGATATAGTTTTTCCTATAAATGCAAATCTTTTAGATGTATTTCTATAGAAAGATTTATATGCGATACAATTTTCGTGTGTGGAAGACTAGAAAAGCTTTAATCAAGTGAAGAAAATTTCAACACAAGAAGATTTGTGTCAAGATCACAAGGCCTAATAGAAAAGTTGAATTATCATTTTACCCTTATGCTAAAATCAAATGTTATTAAAATATTTAATTAATTAAATAGTAACTAGTAGAATTTCTATAATATTTTTAGTTGGTATACATGT